TTGTGGGACTAATAAGGGTAACTTAACTTTAGCTTCAAATATCTGTGTTTAATCTACTTAACACTGTTAGCTTGGTGCTAACATAGTGGAAACTATCATTAGCAGTGGCGAGTAAACAAAAGCTTTCTGCATTAAATATTGGTTTATAATGACATGTTTGGCTGGCACATGATTGTGTGACTATATCTGTCTCTCACACCAGATAAGCTCCAAAAGTTGTATGGTCTCACAATACTGTGTTCCACTTCAGCCATCATTGAGCTCCAACACTGCACCCCCTGCCCCACCCCGTTCACTGAGACAGCCAATGAGAGGGGTAGTCTTTAGCACACAAAATGACCTTTTCTTCAAAGAGAAGTAAATAACAGGATAAAGCACAGTAAATATGCCTCCTTTAAGAATATATCGCTGAAACTAATCACTTTAGTTCCACTTTAATGCAAGAACCCATTACATGAATTCCAGCCTCCTGTCTTCTCCCTCATTCCATGTGATTTCAGCTTAAACAGCTCTGTTCTCCAGCGATGGCGTAATGAAATTATTCACCGGCTCATCCTGTGTCCACTAATTTGGTGCTTGGCTGGCTTGATAGATGTAACCAAGCATCGCTATCTGCTATGCACATTTGCTAACCCGTAACTGTAGGCTAATTTGCGCTGCTCTGTTAGCCTGGCTGAGCTCAAGCTTGATGGAGTGGCTGGTGTAGTAAATCGGTCTGCTACATGGAGATAGCGGAGGAGGGCAGCTAAGGGCTGGGCTTGGGATGAGCTAGCCTCAGCAATGGAGATGATGTACTGTGACCAGGGTTGATTTCACAGCTGCTAGGTGGACAGCAGGTATACAAGAGCTGTCTGGCTGTGAGGGAGTGTGGTGGCAGGGGGCTGTATTTTGAGCTGAATGTCACAAGCCGGGTGTCCATCCTAACAAAACTTGCTTTGCTTTTTATCCATAGTGTTAGCTAACCATGATTGTAGCATCTCAACAGTAAGCTTATAGCCTTCTACATTCACTGGCCACATTATTGGAAAGTTTTTCTTCTGCCCTCACCTTGGTGGTGTACAGTTAGAGACTGTAGCACATCTATTGGTGTATCTGTTAATGCATCTGGAGATATGTTGAAGTTTGTGGTAGCAGTCCTCTAGCCCTTCATCAGGGGTCAGTGTCTGACCACAGAATGTGGTTGAGAGTGGTGGATCACTTTCAACACAGTAGTGATGCTTGGGTATGATACACCTATAAGGGAGAGTAGTCTATATGGGAGGTGGCTAGAGAGTGGAAATACGAAGTAGCTGTTTCCAATAAAGTGGCCAGTGAGTGTATATTCTAATCTTTATCCATAAATGCAATTTCCACCTGTTTTCGAGGTCCTGCAGTTGAGCTATGCATTATTGATGGAATATATTTTGGTGGAAATGCACCAAATGAATCAACTGGAATGAACTGGATTTCCATCTTCAGACGTGAGCAAGCAAATCAGCTTTTGTAAAAGTGTTTTGTTGTGTTTAAAAGCTCTTTTTATTGTGCCAGTTGTACACAATTCTTTGATGTAAAGAAAGCTGCAGTTGTGCTGTCCATTTTATCTCAGCACAGCCGTCTTTGTAGAGAGGTGTGAATTGTTTTTACTACAGGGGGTTCTCACCCCCCTCCTTTTTCCCACCATTGCTTGCTAGCAGCTCAACACAAAGTCTCCACATTTCACCCACATGTTGCACACAATACAAAAGATTACTGTCGTATGTATTAGTTTTATCCATTGTGCCCCATGCTTAGCTACTGAACTCCTCCTTACCCACTTTCCCACTGTGATAAGTCAGTGTATACTAGCATCCTCCATGCTAATGCTAACATCATAGTAATCTGTACTATGCTTCACTCCACTGCCCTCAGCAGCAACCCAATATTCTTCTATGTCTCGGTGGAATCTGTTTCTATTTCCATTCTGAGATTATAATCATCGTTTTCAAATCAGTCAAGGCTCCCTGATGCACAGCCTCTCTAAGTAAATACTTTTTTTTCAATCAAAACAATCAGGTCAAGAGTGATCATAATGTATGTTTAATTTTGCATGACATTGTTGAAAGAGATTTAGAAGCCCCTTTATTTTTTGTATTATATGGAGACCTACACATGTCTAGCACCCTCAGTCAGTTGAGGGTTTCCCTTTTGTTTGATCTCTGCTGTGCGATGACTAAGGTTTGTATTGAAATGCATGAACGTGTGGTATCTGAGAGGAGCAGGCTCTGACACGCTCAATCTCAATTCAGCAGCAAAAGATTTTGTCATGTCCAATTTAGCATAACAACAGCTCCGACTTGAGATGCAAGTGGAGTGATGAGGGGATGAAGAGATAAGAGAAATAGAGGAAAAACAGGAGACAAAAAAGTAAGTGATTGTATGAGCTGAGAAGAGAAGAGAAGAGAAGAGAAGAGAAGAGAAGAGAAGAGAGAATTATTTGAGGAAAAAGAAGACAAAGAAATTGGAGAGAGGTTGAGAGGAGAGATGAAGAGAAAGGAAGTGAACAGAGGTGAGGTGGTAAAAGATGATAGGAAAGGAGAAAAGAGATTTTGAAAGAAAAGAAGAAAAGTGAAAGGAAGAGAAGAGGAGTGGCTGAGAGATGAGAAAAGAGGTTGTGAAAACAGAAGAAAGGAGAGAAGTTGGGAGATGCGAAGAGATGAACAGAAGAGAAAATATGAGAAGAGGACAGAAGGAATGCTAGACTGATAGAAGAGATGGGAAATGATAGGAAAGAAAAAGCAGAGTTGAAGAGAAGAGAAGAGGAAAAAGGAAAAGAGGAGAGAGGTGTAAGGAAAAGAGAGAGGAGGAGAGGATAAAAGAGCCATGGATAGAAGAGAAGAAAGGAGAGAGAAGAGGAGGGAGGTTGAAAAATGAGAAGACGAGAAGTTCAGAGGAGAGAAGAAAAGAAAAGAGGCTGTGAGAAGAGTAGAGAAGTTGAAATAGAAAGGAAGTTTGAGAGAAGTATAGTTTTGTATCCTACAGGCTCTGTCATATGTGCCTGACAGATATAATTAGCATGCAGCAAGCAGAGACAGCATAATAGAAAATCGAGACAAACTACTTAAATATCATATATTGTGCAGAATTAAATTGATACATGATAATCTGAAATAATGAAGAGATAACTACAAAAAAACAGGTAATTAAAAGAGAGAACAGAAGGAATGTAAGTCAAGTTGATATAACAATAACAGTATAACACAACTAATGGAGCTTCCTGGTAGCAGCAGTGGTAGTGCTTTATGCAGCCAGACTATGGAACCAGGAATCATAATGTCGAGTAAACTGTGCAGTCGCCAGACTTGAGTACCTGAGATCCTGGTGTCTTAGACTAAAGAGGTGCTTTGTGTACATACATTCAAAGGGGCTGTAAAATGTGTATCCGCTTCGTGTGTTGCCTCACAGCAAGAAGGGCCGGGGTTCGATTCCCTGGCTGGGTCACCAGGGTCCTTTTGGTCTGCATGTTAGTGGTTTTGACCATAGGGCTATCAGGCACATATGATAGATCCTCCCTATATCTGTGAGGATCGCACCGGTTTCCTCCCACAGTCCAAAGACAAGCATTCAGGTGAATTAGAGATGCTAAATTGAGTGACAGTTAGTGTGTCTGCCTTGTGGTAGACTGGCAGCCTGTCCGGGGTGTTTCCTGCCTTCTGCCCAATGACTGCCTGGGATAGGCTCCCGCTCCCTTGCAACCCAGGAGGATAAGTGGCTCAGACAATGTGTGTGTGTTATTGCTTGTGTAGTTGAGATGAGAGGGGCTCTGATATCAAATGATCGCTTGAACCAATCAACATTATGGCAGATCATTTGTCAGTGGTTCCTTACCCACACTGTTAAATATACAGGCACCATGCAGGTACAATTATTTTAACTGTTGTTATTGTTTGTTATCCACTGTGGACCAGATGAGGATGGGTTCCCCTTTTGAGTCTTGGTTCCACTTTTGAGTCCAAGGTTTCTCCCTCTTGCTCTTAGGGAGTTTTTCCTTGCCACTGTTGACATTGGCGATGCTCATGGGGGCTTGGACCCTGATTTTTCTGTGCAGCTGCTTTCAATACAACTTAGAAAATATCATTTTAATCACGATACAATTATGTTCCCCGACTAAAGGTACTAAGATGTACCCTTGAGGTGACCACCCGAGTGACAAGAGGGGTACTGCCCCAGTGATAGTTTCGTACCTTTATTTCTGAGAGTGCAGCTATAACCCAAACAAGCCAGTGAGCAAGCTAGCTAGTGTTTGACATTCCTTAACCAAGGTAAAATCACTGTAATGCACCACTTGAATGATGATTTGTTGGCTAGGCTAAGTCAGTTAACAAATGCTGACATTGATTGAATGATTTGTTGTCTATATACATCAACACACTGAGCCACATCACTATCCTTAGCAAATGTCAGCAATATATGGATGATGGACAGGTTCTTACTGCCATGGCCACTAACACCTATCACCATGGTTACTATAGTCACTCTTTGTTGAACTTTACCATCGTTATCCTGTATCTCACATAGTTTCAAAGACTCCTACCAAAAAATAAAAGCTTTAAAAAATGAAAAAAAGTGAATTGTTGTGGGGTTGTTTATGCTTGCGTTATGTTCCATTGTCACTTACTGTTCAGTCTGAAGATTATTTATTTATGGGTTAAGGTGATTATTTGCTAATCAAAATATGTGCAATGTTTCCCAACTAAATGAAAATGCTGACATTTTTTGTTCCTCTTTTGTATATCATATCTTAATCTTTTGTATATCTTATCATACTATTTGTTGTTGTTTTTCTACTTCCAGTGATTTGTATGTATTTTTAATGCAAGTGTGCAGAACTATGAAGTTTTTGAAAAATGCGTATCTCATATGACTTAAGACGTGGTGAATTTGTGCTTGTCCAGGACAGGATGTTCATTGTCACTGCTTGGAAGTTGCTCCTCTCTGCCCTCGTTCACTGCTTTCCTCTGTGTGTTTTTCTTTCTGACCATTAGGGAACACCAACAGTGTGTTTGCTCTGGACTACATCAGTGGGTCCCTGACCGTGAACGGCCGACTGGACCGAGAGAACCCACTTTACTCTGCAGGATTCATACTCACAGTGAGGGTACGCATACAGTTTGGGTATTTCAAGGGTTAAGGGGCAGCACTGATGTTTGTAAGGGTTGTGAACGAAATATGGAGAAAGAGGTAAGGAGAAGTTTATGTGTTTGAATTCTGAATACATTTTTAATATAACATAGCATCACAACCATAAAAATGGTAAATGTAGGAGAAGGAAAAAAATATTTTTAACTTATTTTCTCTTTAAACCTTTTGCTATACTTCTCCAAACTACTTACATGTAATTCCATAATTACTTATTTAATTGCATAGTAAGTTACATAAGGAATTATATTGACATTTACATTTTGAATTTGAATCTGAATTCTGACCATTTTTGCGTGTTTCGATGTTAGGAAATGACAAAACCATGGCAAAAAAAATAAAGACTGTAAAGAATGTTTGTCCTTTCTGCAAACAAGACAATAGTGCAATAATTACATTTAATCAATAATAAAATATCTCCTGTATTTACAAACACAAGGGTGGTTTGAACTGAAGGCTTAGAATCTGCACTTTACACAGGATCTCTCTGCTTGTTTCAATGAGCTACAAGTGAATATTAAATGAAAAAATAGCTAACTTAATAAATATTTTAATTTAATATAATTTAACTTTTATTATATTTTCTGTCGCTACATTCATTGTGAAATGTTCACACAATGTGAAGGGCAGCTAGGAAAAAAAAACAGAAAAAAATTGTGTTTACAATATATTTTTACAAGTTAAAACTGAAAATATTACAAAAGAAAAGAAAAACAAAACACACTACACTTCAGACCTAAGACATTTAACTCATACTAACATTCAACTACATACCTTTTAAACTGACTTTAATTCAATCCACCTTAATCCTAACCCTAACCCCAACCTTAACCCCTTAACTTCCCAGGCTTATTACATAATAAGGCTTATTATTCAGTAACTACAGGGACTTCAGTGCAAAGTAATGGAGCTTTTCTTAGGTTATAGAAGTGTGTAATAAGCTTTGGACCCACCGGTGGGCCCATGGCTTGGTTAGGGCGTAAACCCCAAATCTACACCCAACCCTCACTCTGGTCCTAATGCTAACACTGGTTAAGAAACTGAGTGTCACCAGAAAATTTGTTAACAATTTGTATACAGTCCACAGGGTGTTTAATTCGTGGATCAGGATGTGTTACCTCAGACTGCATCTGGCTCCTACTTTAATGGATATGGCACCTCATTCACATACACAATACAGTCAAGAATAAAAGCATTAGAACAAGAAACAATTATTATATATATTTGACAGAAATGGTAATAAAAACAACACAGATGTTGTTCATCACTCACAAAAAAGCTTAGTAATGCTGTTTATCACTTGCAAATGTACCATTTCTACTGTAATTGTTCAGTCCTCAAAAGAGCTCAGTAGGCCTGAACAAAACCACTGGCTTCTGACATTGATAGTAACTTCTAGTAATTTTTTTATGATTAATTTTCAAATGCAAGCGTTTGGTTGTTTGAATGATTTGCATTGCATTGTACGTTTTGGGTAAACCATATATGAGAGAATGTCCTGGCTGTTGGTTACTGTCCAAATAAAATGAGACCAAATGACAAAATATGTCATCTGAGTTCCAGAAACTATATAACATCCATAAAATTACTGTTACAAAAACAGCGTTTTTTTTTATATCTCCTATGAAAAAGTTTCCATCAGTGTGATATTTCTTTATGGACCAGGTGAAATGACTGAAATGTGGTGAAGTGCAGTAGTAATGATGTTCAGTTGGGTTGCTGTAATGTGCCTGACAATCTTCACTTGATGACTCTCTTATCTTTACAAGAGCAGCTTATAAATGTCCACTTACTGTAAGTAATTCTGATACAGTAAGGATGAGTGAGCTAATATTCTGTTAGGCTTCAGGTCTATTAGGAGCACTCAGAGACCATTGCCTGCTGAGCCCTGTAGCCCTGTAGAAAAGAGAGATAGAGACAGAGACAGACAGAGAGAGAGAGAGAGAGAGAGAGAGAGAGAGAGAGAGAGGGGAGAGTCTTGTTATCGTTATCTCCGTGACCTGCTGACAGTTGCATGGCCAAAGGCTAGAGTGTGTGTGTGTGTGTGTGTGTGTGTGTGTGTGTGTGTGTGTGTGGAAACAATTGTTCATGTCTCTCTATCTCTGTTTCTAAGCCCAGCTCAGTGCAAGCCTTGGGCTCTCTCTCTCTCTCTCTCTCTCTCTCTCTCTCTCTGTCTCTCTCATTTTGTTTCACTCATTCTTCCAGAAGTTTGAAAATTAGTGGGGTTTTTTTTGTTTTTTTTTTAACTCCATTTGAATTTGGATAGAACAGCTGTAACCTTTGCAGGTCCCAGTTATCACTGGTGATGAAAGCATAGTGTAATTTTATATGAATTATTTCTCACTCGTTGCTCATAGAAGCAAGTGGGAAAAGTGGGTTCAAAGTAGAAAAGATGTTTTATTATGATTTGAATTTAAATAATGAAATATTATTCTTTGTACAGTCTTATTTTGTGAGAAGAAAAACACACTTTACATTTTTACAGTATTAGCAACTCCTTAGCAACCACATAGGATACTATAGCAATGGCCTCGTAACACCTTAGCAACCACAAGGGATACTGTAGCAATGGCCTAATAACACCTTAGCAACCACATGGTATTCTATAGCAATGGCTTAGCAACACAATAACCACCATAGCAATGGCCTAGCAGCATTTAACTATATCCCATATACCACAGAAACAGCCTATAAACACCTTAACAACCACATAGGATACTATAGCACTAGCCTCAGAACACCGTAGCAACCCAATGGGACAAATAGCAGTACCCTAGTAACACCTTAGCCACCACATGGGATACTATAGCAATGGCCTAGCAACACCATAGCAACTACATGGGATGCTATAGCAAAGGCCTAGTAACACCTTAGCAACCACATGGGATACTATAGCAATGGCCTTGGAACACCTTAGCAACCACATGGAATACTATGGCAATGACCTAGCAACACCTTAACAACCTCATGGGATACTATAGCAATGGCCTAGCAACACAATAGCCACCATAGCAATGGCCTAGCAGCATTTAACTATATCCCATATACCACAGAAACAGCCTAGAAACACCTTAGCAACCACATGGGATACTATAGCACTAGCCTTGTAACACCTTAGCAACCACATGGGATACTATAGCACTGGCCTCGTGACACTTCAGCAACCACATGGGATACTATAGCAATGGCCTAGCAACACCCTTGCAACCACATGGGATACTATAGCAATGGCCTAATAACAACTTAGCAACCACATGGGATAATATAGCAGTACTCTAGTAACACCTTAGCCACCACATGGGATATTATAGCAATGGCCTAGCATCACCTTAGCAACCACATGGGATACTAAAGCAATGGCCTAGTAACACCATAGCAATCACATGGGATACTATAGCAGTGACCTAGCAGCATTTAACTATATCCCAGATACCACAGAAACAGCCTAGAAACACCTTAGCAACCACATAGGATACTATAGCACTGGCCTAGAAGCACCTTAGCAATCACACAGATAAAATAGCAGTGACCTCGTAACACCTTAGCCACCATAGCAATGGCCTAGTAACGTTATTCTCGGCTTCTACTGATTGAACTTGCACTGGAGCTGTGAGGTTTATGCCACATATTCATAATTATGCATGCAAAAAACACCTCTGGATTGGTTGCGGTCATTGCTTCCTTTTGAAGTCTTGAGGTAAGAGGCCTAAACCAAATTAAAAGCAAGACCTTTGATTATGTTTGAAAGACGAGTCATTTTAAAGATAAAGTTTAGATGCCAGTTAGGACCATTGCAGAACATTTAGACAAAATCCATATGGGATCCATACGGTATGGAATATCTTGAAAATGATTTTTCCATCAGCAATTTGCAGTGGTCAGGTTGTCCAAGAAGGACCACAGCAACTGGCTGATGGAAAAATCATTAGAGCTGTGCAGAAACCTCCCAAAATAACAGCCGAGTCACAGACAGTCTGTAAAGTGGAGAGCTGATGATTCACCATACAAAGAGGACTTTGAGAGGAGAAATATAGAAGCTAGCCTGCAACCTCTCATCAACACCAAGAACATCAAGGCCAGTTTGGACTTTGCACAAAAGATCAAGGATGAGCCAGAAGAGTTCGGCAACAAAGCTCAAAGGACAGATCAAAATAAAACTCGAAATTAACCTTCATCAGAGTCATAGAAAGAGAAGAGCACATGAGGGCATGTACGGCTGTTTTGGAACTTGCTCACTTGTCCTTGTTGATGATTTAAGTGATGATGATTGCAGCAGAATCCTTTCTCAAATGTACAGAAACACGTCCAAACTAATAACGCAGCGAGACAGATATCTAAACCACACCACACACTTAACCAAGGAGTTCAACAGGAAAGTGGTAAATTAACAATGTCAACCTATTTAACTTTCGTAGGTCTCCGTTACAGCTGTAGTGTAAGAAGAGGAGGTAAACTGTCCAGCAGTGTCCAGACACCCCTTGTATCCAGCTACTTTAAGGCACACTAATTGCTGACACAAGAGTTCAACTCCACACATAGCATTGAAAAGCATTGTCAATAGAACAAAACGCTCTGGAGCAGCTCCACATAAGCCTAAGGTCACCAAGCCAAAATCTAGCATTAGTTAAAAGGGGTATGACGACCCCCATCATTGGACTGTGGAGCAGTGGAACTTTGTTCTTTGGAGAGATGGGACTCCATCCAATTCCTTTGGGATGAGTTGGAGTGGTGGTTGCGATCCATACACATTCATACATGACCTCACTAGAGCCTTCCCAGAAGAGCAGAGGCTGTTCCTGCAATAAAAGGGGGACAAACCTCCAAATATCTTTGATTTTGAACTGAACAATTACAGCAATAGCACGCCGTGTGCTACCCCAGGAGGAAGAAAGATGCACATGAGCTTTTCAGTTCATCAGTCCTTTTTGCTGCTGCTGCTCTTCTGTCTTCTCTTTCTTC